GTGAAGCAGACACACAGAACTCTGCAGATACATTTTCTTGGCACATACCTTGGTGGTATTAGTCTAATGAAAGAATGTTCTTAGGCAATATTCTACAGCTCCTTATAGCTCAGCTTCAACAATCTGTCAGTATAAGGCATCAGTGTATATGCCTGGGTGAGCACGTTCTTAAAAAAGGGTATGATGTATTGTACAGTAATATTATGCATGAGCCAGACACCACATTTCTGTACACCCTGTGCAGTGTCTAAAACAGTGAGGTGTCCAATCCAAAAATAATTTGGTCCTCAATGTCAAATCCTGATGAAAATAAAGAAAAATGCACAGCAGCAGTGTTCCCCCTCCTTCCCACCACAATCTTTAAATTGCTTCTACAAGAGCTTTTACAAGTACTTCTTATACTCTGCAGGCTGGGCCTGATCTTACATTCCATGCATCTCAATGCTCCTATTACTTACCATGGAAAACTAGGTGCACAAGGAAGTTGAGATCAGACATTATGGGCTCATGCAGCCCTCCTTGAGGCAAATAAGGATGCAATCTTGCTGAACACGTGCACCTTCTCTCAGCCCAGTGAGTTCTCAACAGCTCTGGGATGAAGCTTAAGGCCATGGCTACGTCTACACTGGCCCTTTTTCCGGAAGGGGCATGTAAATTTCACTCGTCGTCGTAGGGAAATCCGCGGGGGATTTAAATATCCCCCGCGGCATTTAAATAAAAATGTCCGCCGCTTTTTTCCGGCTTTTAAAAAAGCCGGAAAAGAGCGTCTAGACTGGCCCCGATCCTCCGGAAAAGGGCACTTTTTCCGGAGGATCGGGGCGAGTGTAGACGCTCTTTTCCGGCTTTTTTAAAAGCCGGAAAAAAGCGGCGGACATTTTTATTTAAATGCCGCGGGGGATATTTAAATCCCCCGCGGATTTCCCTACGACGACTAGTGAAATTTACATGCCCCTTCCGGAAAAGGGGCCAGTGTAGACGTAGCCCAGGTGAAATAAAGCCTTCCTATTATTGTTAACACCCGTTGACTGAACCTCTGTTAGCAATGTTGGAAGTCTTTCAGCATTGTGTGGATTACGCCTCCTTTGAGCAAATTTATAGACATAGTGCCAATGATAGGGCCAGCCATGAAGTTGAAGAACTGGTGTGTTAGCAATAGTGAGTAACTTTTCAAATACCTCCCTAGTATGGACAAGGCCCAGGAGTATGCCTGGAGAAAGCTACAGGATGGAGAATAGTTTAGATCAATTCTTATGGTAGAATGCTAATTCTAAATCTGAACTGAACTTGAATGAATTCTTCACAGTGGTTTGGCAATGTTGGGCAGACTATTTTGCACAATTCCTGTTTCCAGCTCTCCAACAGAAGGTAGCTCTTGTGTTTCCATCTTGACTTGAAGTCAGAGATATCAGAAATTTAATGAGGCAGCTGGGTCTTGTGAGAATTCCAACTCAGTCTTCCCTCCAAACCTGTATCTGCTTATCTGTAGCAAGCCAAACTTTGAGGGGTTTTCCCATTGTCGGTAAAAATAGGGCAAGTCTCTGATCTGAGAAGCAGAGGATAAGAGGAAGCTGTCAAATGACCTGAGTGGCACAGAAAAGCTGAAAGAAAATGAGCAATGCACAAGGGACCTGAGGGGATATTTGAAGACACTTATGACTTAATTCAATGGGATTACTCAGAGTGCATAAAATTAAACATGTGCACAAGTCCTTGAGGACATCAGAACACTTTAGAAAGGAGGTTAGGCATCATTATTCTCATTTACAGATGTAGAAAATAAGCCCTAGGGTACTTAAGTGATACGTTACAAGTTAGTGGAAAAAAAACAGGAAGAGAACCAAGTTCTTCCAACATTCTGCCCAGTGCCTTATTCACAGGACAACACTGCCTCTAGAGAGAGTGCTAGAGACATCTTCATGTGTCACACAAGCTCGGTTTCATTCAATAGAAAGGGATAGCTGGTTTTGGAAGAAGGCTTATTTCTAACAAATAAAGGGCCTTCCATGTTCTAGTTTCTCTTTTCTAATTATACAGAACTGTTCTAGTGATAATTACAACATCTTCTTTATAATAAGAAAAGAAAGTAAATTCACATAATCCATAGTGAACACTGCTATTGTCTACACAGATCTTCTATAAATGAGATTATTATAATCAAACAATACATTAACACTGAAAAGTAAGGGTACATCTAGCCTACATGCCTGTGGCGACAAAATGAAGCAGCGATTTAAATAATTGCCACTTCATTTAAATTTAAATGGTTGCCGCGCTGAGCCGATCAGCTGTTTGTTGGCTCCTGGGATGAGACATACCTGGGAGGTTGAAAAATGCCTTTGATGTCGACCGCGGAGCGTTCAGACTACTGTGCTGAGCTGACAAACAGCTGATCAGCTCAGTGCAGCAGCCATTTAAATTTAAATGAAGAGGTGATTATTTAAATCGCCGCTTCATTTTCCTATGCCGGGTAATCTAATCTACATGCCTTTGTCGCCACAGGCATGTAGGCTAGATGTACCCTTACTTTTCAGTGTTAATGTATTGTTTGATTATAATAATCTCATTTATAGAAGATCTGTGTAGACAATAGCAGTGTTCACTATGGATTATGTGAATTTACTTTCTTTTCTTATTATAAAGAAGATGTTGTAATTATCACTAGAACAGTTCTGTATAATTAGAAAAGAGAAACTAGAACATGGAAGGCCCTTTATTTGTTAGAAATAAGCCTTCTTCCAAAACCAGCTATCCCTTTCTATTGAATGAAACCGAGCTTGTGTGACACATGAAGATGTCTCTAGCACTCTCTCTAGAGGCAGTGTTGTCCTGTGAATAAGGCACTGGGCAGAATGTTGGAAGAACTTGGTTCTCTTCCTGTTTTTTTTCCACTAACTTGTAACGTATCACTTAAGTACCCTAGGGCTTATTTTCTACATCTGTAAATGAGAATAATGATGCCTAACCTCCTTTCTAAAGTGTTCTGATGTCCTCAAGGACTTGTGCACATGTTTAATTTTATGCACTCTGAGTAATCCCATTGAATTAAGTCTGTTTGCATGCATAAAGTTAAGTGTATGCATACGTCTTTGCAGGGTTGAGGCCAATATAGCTTATTAATAGGACTGGCTGCAAATTTTCTATTTTAATTTTTTTGCAGTTTTCAAATACATGAATGTTTTAAAAATAATGTCCTCAAGTCAAAATATTTTCATTTATATATGCTACAAGAGCATCTCATGGGAATTGTAATTCAGTTGTCACATAGACCCATTTTCTTCTATGGGTGAGGTTCCTCCACTAGGCTAATTTCATAACAAACTGCCTCCCCTCTCCAAAGATGAGACCAAGTGCCATTAGGGAGATGTAATCTAACCCAGGAGCCAAGCCTATTAAAAAAATGGAAACACAGGGCACCCATACTACAGCTTCCACGAAACACAGGGTATCACTCCTGAATCAACATATTTTGGGGTTTGGCTAAAATATTTCCACATTGACATTTTTGCTAAATAATAAAAATTTCTGTAGAATTTGTTTGTTAGGGTATGTCTACACTTGCAGCCTATTTCGGAATAGGGCTGTAAATGTAGGCATTCGGAATTGCAAATCAAGCCCGGGATTTAAATATCCCGCCCCTGATTTGCATCTTCCAGGCCGGGCGCCATTTTTTAAATTTACAAGCCAGGAATAACTGCCTGCGTCTACACGTGGCAGTGAAATGGGCGTTCGAAATAAAGCCCTATTTCGAACTACCTGTTAAACCTCATTGCAGGAGGAATACAACAACATATCTCCACTTTCTAATGAACCCAAAGAAAGTTGAATAGCATTCTGCAAATGATTAAATGGGGAACAATACAGTACAGAGTGATCTGCAAAGTTAAGCTAGAGATCTGCATTACTTTTGAAAATAAAGACCACATGCATTTAAAGATTAAAAGCTTCCCCACTGTCCCTTTCAGACACAGCTGAAAGAGTTATCTGATGATAAGCAAATGATACACATATATTTGGGTAGCTATAGGATGCCTTGGTTCAGGACTTCAGCAATGGAAATGCACTAGCACTTCTACTGAAAGCCCTTTTCAATGTAATCCCTCTTCATTTCCAAGACGTTTCTGAACCATCTATGCCAGTTATGTTGTATTAATAGCTCCCCCACCTCAAACCATCAGTTTAAAGGGTTCTTCTAACAAGAAAAGAATCTAACTTAAGTGAGATGGTGATCACTACAGCTTTCTCACTCATGAAATATTATTCCATGCTTGGCTTTCATACAAGGGCTGTAATTGTGTTCAGATGTGCCTTAAAGAACAAATTTCCCTTTGTACTCCTGCCCCTTCTGTCACATGCTCAAATTATCCTTCTGAACCACACCACCTTCTCCTCCGATGATACCTTCTCCTCCATGTCTGTTCCCAATGTCTCACTACCCTCTTCACCTCTTCCAACCCTTACATCCTTGATGGCCTTTCCTTACTATCCCCTCTGGTGGCACGGCTCACTTTAACCCAGTGTTTCTCAGTGTTCTGCAGGCCTACTTTGGGAAAGCCTCTACTGGGCCCATGCCACTTTGTTTACCTAAAGGGTCCATAGCCATGGAGCCTCGCAGCTCCCATTGGCTCCAGTTTGCCATTTCCAGCCAATGTGACTTAAGCATGTACTTAAGTACTTTGCTGAATCAGGGCCAAAAAAGATTTGGCCTTTGGAGCCTAACTCAGTCCTGCACCAGTAGCAGCTCTTGCAAGGCCCCCAGGACACATGCATTCCCTAACTCTGTTAAATTTACAGAAATGTTTCTGACTCTTTTCCTCTCCTTTATGCTTGTATCTATTTTATGCTCTTCCTGCCTGGAAAGAGGAGGAGGCAGTGAACACTTTGTATTTCCAAAATTGATAATAGCTACTGCAGGGCAAAGTTACTTTATTTTATTTTCCTCTGCCTGCTATATTTTCATTAGCAGCTTGCCTCTGCTTGGTATACAGACCTTTCCTCCACCCTGTCTATCAAAACATCATGTGATAATGAGACCCAAAGGGGGCAACTGGATTGCATCTTTCCTGGGTGCTGTGACTGAACTTTTGGGTGACATCAATGTGTTTACTGCCTCTTCTCTGTTGCAGGATGCGATTGAATCCCTATGGGGGAGAGAGAATTGTGATTTAACTTCTCAAAAATGTGTCTGGGAGAAGTGAAGAGTCTGATTTCAGAGAAGTTCTCTATATCTTCCTATTAAAACACCAATTGCCTTAACTAGTTTAATAATAATAGTTAGCACTTACACTGTGCTTTTCATCTGCAGTGCTTTATGCACATTAAGCCTTACTTTATTCCCATGGAGTAGGTGTAGTAGCCATCTCTCCTCTCATTTGGCAGATGAGAAAATGGAGACAGAGCAGGTAAATGAATTGCCCAGGTCCATAGATGAAGATGATACTTGTGGTCAGAAGTTCTCTGCTGCTACGTTTATGCTCAGACCACAAAGAGGACCCTGATTGCACATCTCTGCAATGTTGTATGGGTAAGTATTGCTTCTTCCTTTTTTTTTTTTAGACCTCATTTATTTTGATTATGGAAGGTTGTGCTGCTGTGTGAGTATATGGATCAGGACTGTGCCCCTCAGTTTTCTTGCATGGCTGAATTGATAATGGTAAATGACACCAGTGCAAATAGCTTCTTTGTTAAGATAGAGGGTATATTGGCTTCTTTGAATATGTGGCTGTGAAGTTTTATCTGTACTTCCCTTAGGCTGGCAGGCTGTTTTCTTCTCCATTATGCTGTTCCTCCTTGCCAGGTTTTATACCTACAGTTCTATGTGCTTGTTAGAGCTTGTAGTTTCTGGAGAAGTATAACATGGAGTGGGAATCCAGAGTGGTAAATCAGGGTTGAGATTTTTCCATGAATAATTAGTTCTTGTTCAAGCTGGGAGGAGAGGGGGAAGCAAAAGGGTTTGAAAGAACTTGGGATTTGAAGGCGTTTGTATATTTTTGTTTGTTTGAGGAATAAAACCTCTGAGAATATCTACACAGTGAGGTAATTTCTGTTTGCTGGTTGTGCTCCACTTCATTCCCTACCCTTCACCACCATCACCCACCAAAGCACCCCCAGCCAAACACGAATGCTGACAAAACAAAATGGAGTGGTGGAAAGGAAACAGAACTGATTTAGATCAGGATTCTGGATTAGAGTGAGACCTGCCAAGCAAATGGCCAAACCATCATCTCATGTAAGTTAGTGCTGTCAAAAGAGCTACACAGATTTTAGACATCTGAAGCTCTGACCCAGCTGTTTAGAAAGTGGGAAGTTGGCTCTAAGGAAGGTAGGTCCAGGACTACAGAGCCACCTGGGTTCCTTTATAATACCTTTCAATTAATTTTGAGATTATTTTGGAGGAATCCATTAAAAGGGATGGCTGCTGAGAAACCAGAGGAGGGAGGGACATCAAAGCTTAATTAGCATGTTCGTTGTGACATTTAAATGGATATATACTGCCTCAGACAAACACTTGTCAGTTGGAAGCTGTGTTTTTTTTTCCCCCTGTGGCTTTTTAAATATACTTTTGCAATGTAAATACTACATCAATACTACATCCCAATGTGCAACTTGAAATCCTCTTAGTGAACAATAACAGAAAGAGAGGGATTGTCTGACAGTGGTTAGAGATCAGGACAGGGAGCTGGAGCCCTAAAACTCAATGATGGGCAGCTTTCTAAATGTCACAAAGAGATAATAGTCTTCTGATAGCTGTGACACTGATATGGGCTCACATTTATTTATTTATTTTATTTATTTGTTCCTCAACTTCCCCATCTGCAAAATGGGAATAATCTCATTTACCTACCTCACTGGTGTTATGAATTTTAAATAATCTTTGTAAAGTGCTTTGGGATAGAAAGACTATTATAATTACAGTATAAACAATTAATTGAGTCTTCCTCTGAGAACTTACACTTTAGCAAAAAGTTACCAGCTCTGGGAGAAAAAAATGATAAACAAACTTTGGCTCAGATACTCCAAGCTGTTCTGAATGGGCAGAACCATGCACCCACACAGACCAGCTGGCGGGATTGGGTTGAAGATACTTCTATTACTGACATGTTGCCATCTTGCGGATGGGATACAATAGCTCACAGCTATATTTCACAGTGAATAGGGCGAGGAGGCAATAATCTTTATAAGACTCCCTAATTACCAGGGCTTGACAAACCCCAGCGAGAGCTACTCACCAGCCCCACACCATGCATGCACCAGACTGGCACTGCGCATGTGCGAAGTGCCAGTGAATGGGGCGCACGGAGTGACCAGCTGAAATCTACTTGCCATGGGTGAGTAGATTCACCGGTTTGTTGAGCCCTGCTAATTATCATGGCTGTCTTTTGCACCTGAGTATTATGGACAGGATGTAGGCAGTCTTGCCTAGTGGTCAGAGTAGGAATCATGTCTAGAGAGCACAGCAGGCATCCAGGTTGGGAAATGAAACCACGGGTCAGCAGCAGAGTCAACTGCCAAGTACCAGAGCCAGAGGACAGACCAGAGACAGAGTGCAGCTTGAACGTCAGCCTAGGACAATGGTTTTCAAACTATGGGTCATGACTCCGTATTGGATCATGGAATGCCAGGCACTGGGTACAGGGCCTTAGGCCGATTCGTCCAGTTCTAAGCTGCAGAAGGAAATAAAATGGGATGCTGTTAGGGGATAGTATCATTGAAAGAAACCAAGAGGCCAAATCACAACCTCCGTGGACTGAGCTCCCCTCAATGTCTCCTAGTATGTAGGGTTAATTCCATATTTCAGCCAACAAATGTTGATCAGAAGGTCCTGTGTGTGGAATCACATTTGTTGATGAAGCATTTCTCAAGGAGTTGCTTATGTGAGTCAGCGTGCTTCATTAAAGTGTGTAAAGTTGTCACACTAAGATCCATAGCATCTCTGTCAGGCAACTCCCTGATGCTTTTCAGCTGTCGGACATGATAAAGGAAACATGGAAAACCATTCCATATTACAAATGCTCTGAGAGCTAGTTGCCACTTTTTACTTTAAAGAAGATAGCAAAAAATGTTAACTGAGAGCATGCTATGGACACCAGCCAACTAACTACGTTAAGGAATGGGCAGCTATGTGATTAGTGGATAAGGGGAGGCGCACTCTGGGTCTGCTGTGCCTCTGCATTTCAAATGTGTAAGAGCCCAGCGGCCGCCACGGACTGGTGCAAGACAGGACTGCTCAGTCCCAGTTTGTTCAGGTCCAGCAGCCCCTGTTCATGGTTGCCTGAGCTGGACGTGGGCAGGGGCTGCTGCCAGCCCTCCCCAGCACAACCTCTGGTTTCCCTCCTCCCCCCTTGTTGCTTCTCATGCAGAGGCAGCAAGGGAGGGGGAAGTGAATAGTCAATACTTGCTTACATCTCTACAGCCAACCCAGGTGATCTTAAAATAGGCTCCAGTGTATCAGAAAGTACATGCCTTTGAGAAGTGAGATTTTAGCAACAGCTGAACAGCTGAGATTTTTCTCATTTCAGCAG